ACCTAGAGACTTCCAACTAGCAGATAAATGAGAATATGAAATGCTAGTGTAAGTTCAGTCATAGCCTGAAGTTTGTGAATTACTTGTGTGAGTACCAGAAACTTTTACTTTTAACTTTTTAACTTTTTTCCTGCAATAATCCAAAAAATATAAAAAGCATTGCACATGCATTCCTTACAATGTGACGCTGCTTTTTCGTGGTATTGTTACAACTTTAATTTAATGTAAATGGGTTTTTTTCACCATTAAAATTCAGTATTTGTTATTTTAAAAACAGAAAATAATAATGTCACATGCATAACACAGTTTGGTTGCAAATGAGCCGCTCTGTAGTATGTGTGCGCTACATTGTTGCGGTAAAAGCTGCCAGTCTGTCTTCTTTTGTTATGCCTTTGTCAGAAGGTGGCGTAGCTTTGGGCAAAGAGGAGAAATGTGTGCATGTGTGGAATCAGGGTTTAGAGCGGCGTGGGGGTGTTCAAGCTTGTTTTTTGTTTGCTCGTCATCTCCTTCCCTCCTTCCCTCCCTCCCTCAGGGTCAGGTAGCATGCATAGCACTCTCACACACACTCCCACAGCTTCAAGAGAGCACACACACATTCTTCACTATCTACCCAGAACCTGCTTGGGTGAAGACAGCATGTGCGTCTGTGAGCTGTGAGGATGGAAAAGAGAGTGTGTGTGATCCAGACTGACTTCCACCAGTATAGACCCACCATTGCTCTCCACAACAGACCCCTGGCACATGTAAGAAAAATGCCTCTTTTTCTCTGGCACTACATGTTTTCCTTCTTCACTTAATCTTTGCTTATTCATTTTTTTTTTGCAGACTTTGTGTTATTTAATCTCTCCCGGTTAGTTTTCTTTCTGGCACTGTGCTTCCACCATGATGCAGGGCTCTTCCTTGTTCCCGGCCCACACCTCTAGAAAAGAGGGTCCTTCATTCAGCAGGGGGCATCAGAGTGTATAGGATCATTTGTGAAACACATGTATGTGCTTTTCAAGTTTTTTTTAATTTACTTTAAGATTTTCCATGTTTCAGGATTAGCATCATTCTTAAAGTTTAAGCTGTGAGTAGCTAAATGTGTAGTTTCTCCTCTTCTTCTCACAAGCTCACACATACATTTCAGTGGAATGCAAACACAGACAAGCATCAGAAAGCCTGAGGAGACTAAAACAGGGAGTTTCATTTGCTTGCTCACTGACTTAAGGTACTGCTGAAGGATCAATTACAACCACTTAGAAAACATTGGAAGATTTGAAGATTTAAAGCAAAGAGTTTTATGATCAATACAACTCCAAACTACTAAACTGGAGCCAGGTAGCAACTCCAGAGTTCCCCTTAAACTCACTGACATCATTCTTTATGGAATTAATTACTAATATTAAATGATATCAATAATGAAAAACAGTGAAACAAAGTGTCTGTGAAGATCATGGTTGTCTATGGAGCTGAGAAAGAAAAGCGTCTGGACTTCTTTAAGCTTCTTGAAGATGTTTCTCCTCTCAGTTGGTGGAGAGTCCCAGATTTTTAAGCCCTATTGGGAGTGTCCCTAAGAGGGTCGTGGACCCTATTGATCCCCTGCCTGATCACATGAAAACAGGTGTAGGTCACGATCAGCCAAGTAAAACAAAGTATTAAATGTGACAGCGGGGGCATGTACTGCAGCCTGCCAGCAGGGGAGCATCACAAGATTTTTGACCTCTTTTGGGGAGCTGTCATGTTGGGCACCTTTATATTAATGTATACTATCTATGGTGTGTGTGGATATTAAAAGATAGTCAAATGATATGAAGTAATGTAAGGCTGTACTTTTGATGATGGCTACTGCAGAGTAACTGTTTACCATTTTTATGTAACTTGCCCATCACAGATGATATACAACTCTGTGACCTAAACCATGGTGGCTCTTTCAGCTGGCTGGTTCCTGTCTCTCTCAGTAGTTTCACATGTAGCGGCTGGGTCTGTCAGCAAAGACACAAAAAGCTCGGTGGTTTTCTTCTTTGATGATGGTGCATGTGGGTCATGCGGCTCAGACGGGATACTTTGTTTCTTTGTGTGTTTCCTCCTAAATTGAAAGGAATCCCACTGATCCTCAGATAATGTTATGTTTAGGTCTACACACTTCACGGTAACTACAGTCAGTGTTGTCTATAATCCATCCAACTGTTATGCGGTCCAATAATGTAAGGTATTTCAAATCAACCTTATCAGGACAATAACTCACAAAGAAAAGAGCAGCTCTTCAGTGTAATGAATGACAGTCATATCACTGATGTAATTTATAAGCTGGTATTATTGGACCTGACCTGCAGTCAGTTGACCACATGAGTGTAAGTGAGCTATGAGGTGCTTCGCTGATCAAAGGCTTGCTGTACCTCCCTCCGCGACCTGGATCCAGAGTTCAGCCAGAGGCCAGGCTTCGCTCTGTGGTCCATTTATCTGGGAGCAATTTGGATGCTCAGGATTTTTTACTGTACAGAAAGGCTCTGTTTGCAGCAATAAGCTAACAATTCAAGGACGACACACACCTGGATAAGAAGCACCCAAACACAGTAGATGTGCATTAAGCATCACTGAGCTTTAGAGCTACAGGTTTTTGCTTAAGCTCTGGGTCTACAGTCACAGTCTTACCTGTATACTGCAGTGGTCAGTAGCACTGCAGATGAAAGAAAGAATAAAGTGCATTCATCAAAGTCGCTCTGAGTAAAACTTAGATATATGTCATGTGTTTTATCTCTTGTCAGACACACATGTATAAAGACAGATGTGATTAATCCCAGTCCTCACTGTCTGTTAGGATCTTTTCCATTTACACACTGTGCTATTACCTTTAGCTTACTAGAAAAACTAACTTTAATGATTTTTTCTACTAAATAATGGGCCATTATCACACAAACCTTTACGTTTTATTAACAGAGGAATGATTTAATTTGCACATTCATTGAACAGCCTGAAATTAGTCATTAAGGCTCACTGTGGTAAAACAAAAAAAATATTAAGAGCTAGCTATTTAGTGGTTGTTAGTGGCATTGCAGTTTGCCATGCTTACAAGTTAACTGGTTCTTAATTATGATGTCACTAGGGACTGTATTACTAGTTTTAACGCATTGCTACTAAAACCTCCCAGCAATGACTTTTGCTCAGGCACATTTTGAAGACTAACTTTATAATTCCTGAAGTTTTGTTTGCACCTACATATGCAAATATAAAAGATATTAATTTATTTTTTTATGGATATTAGTGATGCATGATTAGACTTAAACATTAAAGGTGACGGACATCTATGCTGAGGTTTTAATATTAAAAAAATATTAAAATGATCTTCAAATGCCGACTTTACCCAAAATTTAGAATTAGTTCTTTTTTTCCAAAGGCTTGAAAGTAAACTGACTATCTCTTGCATCCTTCTGTCCAAGCTCACTCTGTTAGTCTTTGACTCTTTATGCTTCAATAAGTGACAGGATTTTTCTTTGCATTTAGCACCTGCCTGTGCAAAGGTATTCAATTAAAACTGAGCATTAACTAAGCAGCTTTCAAAGCTTCAAAGCATGATCCAGAGTTTGCATGATGATTTTATTACTTTTTTCCTGAAATAGTTTGGCTGTTGCCTACTTGAGTAATGTGAATATTAACTGGGACAACACGCAGGCTGCATTAAGCCGTATTGAACCATCTCAGTATTTAGCATGGTAACTATTGGTGGTAACTACTAAAGAGTAACGATTATGGTTGTCCTTATTTTCTGCTACACAATATATTATTGCAAATATTAAACATAGTTACACAACTAGAGGTCAGCACACATATGCAAGCAATCCCTGTATGCAGACATTTTTTTCTTGGATGTT